CAGCCTAAAATAAACTCTATTTAATTTTTTGTATTAAATAGGGGAACTTGTCGGCAAATAAAACGGTTTCGCAGACCAAACAGATGTCATATATTTCTTAGTTTATTTGATCGAGCATCATCCTCAAGTCTTGTGTTTATCCCTCGAGATAGATACAGGATTTGAGGTAGAGCGCTCTTTCATTTAAACTGTGAAAAATATGATGTCATTTTGATTTCATATTTTTCTAAAATTATATATATATATATATACATACGTAAATTAAAACGTCATTTCGAAGAGGGCGATGTGATTTCAATTCCGGCTGCCGACAGCTTCTTACGGGCGACACCCACAAAACAATTTTTTAGTGCCGACAGTGCGTAGTACTGATGTAATATTTTTTTTCCCACACACAGTCGTCGCAAGCAACCATTCTCTTCTCCTTCTATTTCGGTCAGTTCTCCTCCTTCATGCACTCCGACACAAGACTCACGCGCAATGGATTGTCTCCCCTTCTCCTTCCTTCGAGCATGGTTCAACTTCAACACAATACGACAAGCCGTTCTCGTCCCTCCTTCCTTTGACGAGGGTTCGACACGACACACTTTTCTCGGCTTGATGGTGGTGTCAAACGCGAAGCTCCTCAGCATACACTCCTCCACGTTCGCGCAGGATGTGTGCATGACTCACCTCCAAGGTACCACACACTTCTTCCTCCTTCCCAGACTGCTCACTAGCGTTTCCTCTTCCTCAACTTCGCTAGCGAGCCTCCTTTGCTTCTTCCTTCTCTTTCACTTATGTTTCTTCCTCTCCTTCCTCTGTCTCTCGCTCTCTTTGTTTGTTCCGTTCAAATGAAAGGATATCTTCTTCGACTCCTAAAGACGAACCCGCAGAGATGAGCCTATTTAATTAGAATTATTAATATTTATTTAATTATTTATGTATTTAGATGTATTATTTAAGACTTACAGTTATTACATAGGCGCACGACTATAATGTCTGTTCTAGAGGCACCAATCTTCTTGATTCATGGTGTTGACATCCATGGCCACACAGAAAATGGTTCCCTTTAATAGGCATGTTTACATTAGATTTTTTTTTTCTCAAGTCCCAACTTTTTGGAGAAGAATAATAAAGGACCAGAAACAAAGTGAGGCGGAGTGGAAGATATAAAAAATCTAGAGTGGTGTTCCTTGATCACAACAAGGTATTTTCACTGAATTTGCCTCTAGCACTGTCATGGTTATTTGCAGCACCACCACACTTGCTTCATTTCAAGAGGGTTAAGCATAGCCACAGAAGAGTCGAATAATTTTCCCCCTCTTCTATTACCTATTCCTTGCATCTTCCTCTCTCTATGGTTTCCTCTTTCCCTTTTGTCTCCTTATTTTTTTTTTATTGAAGAGTTTTTTTCATCACCTCAAAACTCAAACGAGAGCACTACTTTGCCTCCTCTCTCTCTCTCTCTCTCGCTCTCTCTCTTATTTTTCCCCAACATAAACTCATGGAAAAGCTTAGAAAAATGCTATCCTACTTATAGAGGAAAGTTGAAATTTTTTTTTTTGGAAGATAAGTTTTTTATTGATGTATTGATGTAAGGACCATATTTTAGTCTAATAATTTATCCGTGTAGAAAATAATTAGGCTCCACCAAAATTGATATGAACGTTGATGGCTATAATATATGCACAAGCAAGGATAAGTGGAGTTGTGCTAAAATTTTGTGAAAATACATTTTACACATGTCGCGCAAGCAAGAACAAGTGGAGTGGGGGCTCATAAAAATGAGCTCAAATAGTTAGGATATGCCTAGTGATAATGATAGGTGTAATGCTTGTTGATTCTAATATAATTTGATACTATTGATTGGTGAGATTTTAATTTGGAGCATTTACATAAATAATTCTTTCAATTTTACACATATAGCGCTCGAATCTTTAATATTACATAAAAAATAATACTATTATCACTTTTTAAAAGTGAAATACACTTTTTCATGCGTAGGTTTAAAACAACCAAGTGCTATGTATGTAAATATGAAAGTTTAGGTGTGAGATATATTATTAAGTAAGAATTCTATGCTATGTATTTATATTGCCCTTTCAATTTTTGTTTGAACTTCATTTGACAACTGCAATGCCTTTTTTTTTTTTTTTTTTTGACATGATTTATAGGTAAGCATGGGTGGAGAGTTGAGCTATCTCATAAAAGTGCAGAGGATGGTCGTGGTGTCGGTGGTCGTGGTCGTGGTCGTGGTCGTGGTCGTGACCATTATGGTAGTTCGGATTTGAAGTGTTACAAATGTGGTGAACTGGGCCACTTTGCTCGTGAGTGCCGCCTGACAATTGGCCCTGGAGGTCTAGGGAGTGGGCGCCATAGAAGCCCAAGTCCTAGATTTCGTGGAAGTCCAAGTTATGGTCGGAGGTAATCTTTCCCTGGCAACTTTGGCATGTAACCTTTTCTTTCTCTATTGAATAACAGACTCGCTTTTCATTTCTTTTTCTTTAACATTAATCTCATATTTTAGCAGTTTAGTCCGCAGTGCAGATTTCTTGGCTTTTCTATTTAGGGCATTTACGTGCATACCACGTAATTTCTATGTATTTACAATTTTACATGTCCAACATCTAAACTTTTACATTAATACCACCCAAATCATTCATATTACAAAAAAATTCCACTTTTAACTTTTAAAAAGTGAAACACACCTTTTTATGCCAAATCATTCATATTACAAAAAAATTCCACTTTGAACTTTTAAAAAGTGAAACACACCTTTTCATGTATAGGTAAGATGGCATATATGTAAAAATTAAATTTTAGGCATTCAATATGTAAATATATAAGAATTGAGTGTCATATATGAAAATCTTCCTTTTGATTTTGTCTGGAATTATGGTTATGGACTTGTCATGAGAACCCCTTGCTTCCGTTTAAAACATCCCGCTTGAAATACTAATGCATTACATATTGCATCGGAACTTGTACATCTATATTGAAACTTCCCCTTAAATTATAATTTTAGCAATGGCCACATCATAGCTTAGTTTGGAAAGGATACCATGTCTTTGCAAATCCTATTTTCATGAGAACCTATATGCGTAGGAGCTATAGCCCGCGTGATTGGTCTCCAAGGCGTCGAAACTTTTCATCTCGCCGTGGTCGTAGCTACAGCAGATCTCCTCCATATATTAATGGGTAATTTCCTATCATCTTTCATATTTTGGGCACTTTTTAGTGTTTTTTTTTAATTCAACTTTCACTGACATTCTATTATTTTATTGAAGAAGGAATGCTGCAGCTAATGGGAGGCGCTGAAGCAGGAGCAGGAGTTAAGTATCCCAAGCTGGAGCCATTATCTAGTTTCCCTAGTCTTATCTTATGAAATCTGTCCGTTAAACCATCTTGTTTGAAAGAGACTGTGCATCATTGTTTGCTTTTGTGTTTACTCATTTATGCTAAGATATATAGCTAAATAGCATGGATTATTATACAGTTGAATTGAAGACTCATAAAAAGCACTAAAAATGTTTACTTTTTTTTTGTTTTTCTTTTTTGTTGGTTGAGGAGGCTTTTCCCTGCTTCAACAAATGCTGCTCTTACATTTCGTTGCATCCATGCTCGCCATCTTCGTAATGACTTTTCTTTCGTCGCGTCCGCATCCATGAGAACTCGTTATGCAGTTTGAATATTTTAGTGAGGATGATCTACTCCAAATGGGACAGAGGGGGAGAGGATCTGTTACCAATGTGCTGCTCATGTCTGGTTTCTTCCCATTTGCTCTTAATTTTTCACATACAAATTCTCTTCCTTTTTTCCAATCTGTGTCTGTGAGTGGCCATCCTGACCTAACTGAGCGCCCATCAGGTAAAGCTCCCGCTCCCAATTCCATAGTCTGAAGCTATCTGGCAGTATAAAATTATTGGGAAATTTACATATATATCTCACTATTCTTATGTATTGGCATATCTCACAACAAAATTTTGATATTTACTTATGTAGCATTTTGATGCTTTAAACCCATGTATGAAAAAAAAATACATTTTGCCTTTAAAAGTGATAATACTATTGTTGATGTGAATCTAAGGATTCGAATGTGATGTGTGTAAATATGAAAGTTGAGATATGTAAATACAGAAGAATTGTGCGATATGCATGTAAATGCCCAAAATTGTTTAGCTAATAGATTTGCAGGAGTGGTTTTTTCCCCGGTTTCTTCTCTTCACTGCGAAATGCTGGTGGCAAAAGAAAGCTTTTGTCTTGCGATTCGATCATAAGATTGCCGCTCTGATTCGTTCTTGATTCTACGCTTCTGCGAATCGACAGATGAGTTCTAGCTACTCTATTTTCATTTGGAGTTTATTATTGAGCCCACCTATTGTTTATTGTTGAGGTGTTTTTATGAAAATCTCCTAAAGATTCTGAATTTGTTACATTTAACTTTAATCTTGATTGTATTTTGAGGTCTCACTCTTCTTACATTTTTTTTTTCTAGGGATAACTACAAACATAACGCCCGAAACATTGCTATTTACAAAATCATGCGCCCATGTGATATTTTCGAACCATCAAACCAATGTATTTATGCATGCCACGATCAAAACATTGAGAATTTGATGAACATGAAAAATATGGGTTGGGGTTTTGTCATAAATGTTGGCATTTGTGTGAGAATTTGAAAAATAGATGGAAGAGGGTGCTAGATTTGTGAATAGTAATGTTAGGTGCTTTTGCATGTAGGGGAGTTTCTGAGCTCTTTGTATGTTGTGATCAAGTCTTTGCTTTCTCATCTGTTTTTTTATGGGAATTAGAGAAGTTGAAGCTCGTGAAAGGAGAGTGTGAGGATGTGGGGAAAGAAAAATGATGGTTACCTTCATCAATGGTTTTGGCTAGGAGCAAGGAGGAAGAAGGAGAAAAGATGAGTTTCAGAGGTCTTTGTATGTTGCGATCGTGTCGGTCGCTGCTTTCTTAGTTATTTCAAATTGCGGGTTTAATGAAGGTGGTTTATTTAAATCTATTAGATTTCTTAATCAGTGTGGGAATTTATATTTATAAAAATGGGGAAAAAATAAAATTTCTAAGTAAACAAAATTGCTAAATTTAATAAAAATTTGAATTAGAAGGTTATATTTATGATATTAAATAATTTAATAAATTCAATTACTTATTTTTTCAAGTTATTAATTTAAATTGTAATATTTTTAATAAAAGAACAAGTAAACATTGTATAATATTTATTTTAAAATAAATTTTTAAGAAAGATTGTTGTTAATAATAAAATATAATTTTGGTTTTTTATTTTTTTTTAATTTGTATTTTTGCATACATTTGTTGTAATTATTTATAATGAAATGTTATTTTACCTATTTTTTATCTGTTAAATTGAAATATAAAAAGTAAGTAAAATAGTTATAAAATTGACTATTAAAATTATTATAAATAGATCCAAAATAAATATAAAAGTTATTTCAAACTATTTTATAAATATTTATTTTGACAAAAAAAATTATATGTAAATTATTAGTTTTTTAAAAAATTAATGAGTCAAAATATTCACTAATTATTAAATTTTATATTTATAAATATTTCAAACAAATGCTCTTAAACAAAACTTTGATCTTTGAAATCATAAACCTATGCTTGAAAAGATAAATTTCATTTTTAAAAAGAAACTGATAGTCGTATTTGATACATTACAAAAAAATTATAAAATTAAACATGAATCTCGGGGCATAATATACAAAAATTTTTGTCTCAACATTTCACGAAAGTAGAGCTAAAATAGTCTAAAATATAATAAAAATCACTAGTTAGAGGAAGAGAGAAAAAGAGACCCTAATAAAAAAATTACTCTATCAATGTAGAAATATCTTGGGGATAAGTAATAAGAACTGACTCCACTTTGATATTGAAATAATTTTGGTTCAAAAACA